TCCTTTGTATAATAAGTTAATTTATCAAATCTCCTAGAATTGGACATCAAGGGGTTCTTTTCCTAACTCTTAAAGCACTATTAACAATGCCTTGATGAAGATTCTTGTAGGTAACTTGTTGCACACATCTATGGTTATCTCCTAGGATAAAATCCTAGCAATGAAATTAGTGGGCAAGAGCATGCACATGGATGGATGGTGATGACAACTGCACAGTGATATGAATGGACTCATTTAAGACCACTGAACCATATACTTTAAAATGGCTAAAGTGTATGTTATACATATCTTGTTGTTTAGTCACTAAGTCATGTCCAGCTCTTTTTGTGACCCCTTGGAGACCTCATGGACTGAAGGACCCCACCAGGCTCCTCTGTCCATGGGGTTTCCTAGGCAAAAACACTAGAGTGGGTTGCCATTTCCTTCTCCAGGGGATCTTCCCAACCCAGGGATCGAACCTGCATCTCCTGCATTGGCAGGCAGATTCTTTACCACTAGAGCCACCTGGGGAGCCCATATTTCATTTATAACTGTTATGAAATATTGGCTATAGTCTCTGTATTGTACAATATATCCTTGTAGCTTATTTTCTGCCTAATAGTTCGTACCTCTTAGTCCCCACCCCTGTATAGACCCTCTTCCTTTCTCTAGCTGTTCTTTACAGCTGTGATTCTGCTTCTTTTTTGTTATATTCACTAGTCTTGTATTTTGTAGATTCCACATATAATTGATATCATACAGTATTTGTCTTTCTCTGTCTGACTTATTCACTTAACATATTACCCTCCAAATCCATCCATTTTGCAGAAAATGGCACAGTTTTATCCTTTTTAGGGCTCAGTAGTATTCCTTATGTATATACATGTATATATATGTATACTACATCTTCTTTATCCATTCAGCTGTTGATGGACACTTAAGTTGCTTCCACTTCCTGGCAATTGTCAATAATGCCACTGCTACTAATATTGGGATGCATGTGTCTTTTCAAATTCATGTTTTTGGTTTTTTCAGATGTATACCCCGGAGTGGAATAACTAGGTCATATTGTAGTTCTATTTTTACCACAATTTTTAAAAATTGAAAGAAAAAAGATGTATGTTTTCAAGGTTCTCACATGTCTTACCAACCCCTATAGGTTTAAACAATTTATAGTTCTACTCGTCGTATGTGAACTGGTTTTTTCCTGTATCTTTTACTACACTGAATGTCATCATTTTTCAAACTGTTACCAACAGTTTGTAAAAATCAATAGCTCATAATTTTACTTTGCATATATCTTATTGCTAGTAAGATTGAACATTTTCACACAAACATGTTAATATCTGCATTTCTTCACATGTGAATCCATGTTCTTTGCCTATTTTTCTACTGGTATACTCATCATTTCTAACATATTAATTAATTATAGTTTTTAATTTGATACTGTTTATCTCTGCTTTTTCATTATCATTCTTTAAAAAGCATAGTTAATTATAATTTTACTTTATAACACTAATTATAATTTTGGCTTATATTGCTAATTAAAATTTTTACTTTGAGTCATTTTATATCTATTTTTCGTTATTAATCTTTCAAATTTGTTCTCAATTTTTTGTAATTGCTGTTATCTGAGTCTTTCTAATACTTTGTTCCAACCATTTTATTGCCTCTTATAATCCTTCTTTTATCCTCTCCTTATATCTCTTGAAAATCATCTTCTCTGTTTTTAATTATCTTTTATATGATTATAAAACTAACAGGAGGAGAAATAGGAAGAGCAGAACTAAGCCAGGAAGAAATTTCATGACAGTCAAGATACTCAAGCTTGATGCTTGATGTGCTGATCTGCATCCAAGGTGAGTGAGTCGGTGTGCATGTGTCTCCAAGTCCAAAGGTGCTGTGCATTTGTAAACAGAAACATCTCCTAAGAAGGAAGAGGGGGCCAGGAGGGACATGGAGAAAACAAGCCTACTGGAGCAATGGAATGAAGGGACGTATGCAGCAGGCTTCTGGTGCAGTCTGGTCATCTCTTCTGCATGCAACACTAGTTTCGCTCTCTGGGGCCAGAGTGTAGGCTCTGTTTCCACGGCCCCCTTCACAGGAAAGCCTGACAGGAGTGAAGAGAGGCAGCAAGTGCCTGCCCCTCACCCCACCCTCACCCTGAGTCCCCAGGAGCCACTTCCTCCCGCTCGAGCCCCTCGTCATCGACCACCAAAGGACTGTTGAAGCCCTCTTTGTCTTCCTGCAGTAGAATCCTCCCTGGATGGGGAAGCAGTCCTCCAGACACCGCTTCCCAAGTTACATGCTGTAAACTGAGCCTGGAAAACACAAGCCTGGCCAGCACACAAATCACTTTTAATGATCCCTGAAAGAAACCATCAGTAAACCTCCAGCAGCCATCTGCAAGTCTGAAGGTACAGCTACAAAAACACACGGTGAGGAAGGGGACATAGAAAGGCTCATTTCCCTCAGGCAGCGTCACTGTTTCTTTCATGGATCATTGTGTTTGCCTCTTTGTCTGCTGTGGAGTGGAGACGTGTCTTACCTCAATCCATTAGGAATTTATAGTTAATCTCGAGCCGTGTGATGAACATTATCAGTTTTGTATTAGTACCATCTTCGAGATGGTGCTGCCTGTGTGTTTCCGGAGAAGGATTCAATCAGAAACAAAATAGCTGCCAGCGAAGCCAGCTTTCTCCTATCACAATAGTCCGGTTACTGTAGCCGTGAACAAGAGAAAGAAGAATACTTTGCCAATATCCCCCTTCTTTTACTTCATTTCTTCTGCGCTGCCTTGTCCTGACTGTCAGAGCTGGGATGGGGTGCTGATACCCAGCTCTCACCCTCCGCCACCCCCAGTCTCTCTCTCCTCCCAGGTTAAAGTGGACTCTGGTACTGGAGCCCCGCTGACTGGGACAGGAAGTGTGCCAAGTGCCAACAGCACTTATTTTATATTGTGACTGTCACCAATCGAATTTTCCAAAGATGGCCACAGCATTGTTTCCAGTATTTATATTCCCATGTGCCTTTCCCCCGCCCCAGCACTTAGATACTCCCTACGAAGAAGGAGGGTCTGTTCCCTCTCCCCTTGAACCAGGTTGGGACTTCGCTCAGCCTTAGTGAATTGCAGCAGAAGAGATGCTAGAGGATTTCTGAGCATTGGTCATCGAAAGTCACATCATTTCTCCTTGACTCTCTCTTTCTTGAGATGCCAGTCCCTGGAACACAGCCCCCATCCTGTGTAGAAGCACAGGTTACGTGGAGAGTCCAGGTGAGGTTGTACCGGCTGACTGTCCCAACTAAGTTCCAAGCTTCCAGCTGTTAATAGCATCACCTGCCAGACATGGGAGTGAATGAGACTTCCGATGATCCCAGCTTATGCTGAATAGAGCAGAGATGAATTTCCACTGCTGGAAGTATTAGTTGCTCGGTCGTGTCTGACTCTTTGCGACCCCATGGACTATAGCCCAGCAGGCTTCTCCGTCCATGGAATTCTCCAGGCAAGAACACTGGAGTGGGTAGCCATTCCATTCTCCAAGAGATCTTCCTGACCTAGGGATTGAAACTGGATCTCCCGCATTGCAGGCAGATGCTTTACGGTCTGAGTCACCATTGGCAAATCACCACTGCTGAGCCTTGCCCAAATGACAGATTAGTGAATAAAATGAACATTGTATGGCTTTAGGGCATACAGTTAGAGGGTAATATTGTTTTAAGAGTCATAGTAACTGGAATGGTTACTACCCTAGATCTGGAATCCATGGGCCTGAAAAGGCTATGAGATTCCTTTGTCACCAAGTCAGTCTCTTCCAGGCCTATCTAAATCTTGGTTCCCCTAAGGATGCTCCCTGTGACTATGACCACCTCCCCACACTGGCCTTGTTTCTGAACAGCTGGGCTCCTGCACACCTCCATCCTCATCATACTTAACCGCTTACCCCGCCAAGTGACTCAGTCTCTCTCAGGACTGGAGCTTGTCCCTGGACTCTGCCTGGTACCCAGGAACTGAACTTCCCTGCTTTATTCCTACCCGTTTACTTTGGAATGGAGACTTGCCTCTGTGCACTCCACCCCTGCATATCACCCACCTCATCCCATTGCGTGTTTCCAGCCCTGGTATCTGACCACTGACTGAAGTCTGGCCTTCTCAGAAGCCCTTGAGACAACAGTGACCCGAGCAGGACTGGGCATACCATGCCCAAGAATGTCTTTTGCCAGCTGGCAATACCTCAGAAATGGTCTTTGCAGATGGGCCAGCCCCCCGGTCATGGGGGTCATTCTATTACCAGGTCCCCAAGGACTCCTCCTATCCAGCCCTCTGCTGTCTCAAGTAGATCACCCTTTAATAACTGCTAGTATGTAACTAGAGAGTGATTTAGGGGAAATATGAGTAGACTAGTTCATATTCCACTAGGAGTTCTGATCAAAACAGAACAGAAAGTTGAAATTATTATCTAATCTTTCAATTCTAAAGTAGGATTTGGATACCTAAGAATAGTTAACAAAATGAAATATATATATATATATATATATATTTTTTTTTTTTTTTTTTTTTTTTTTACCTGCTGGTAGCAAATTTATTCCCACAGGAAGAAAAATACTTTGGTTGGGAAAAAATTTCACCCCTTGATGTAGACAAATTCCACAGACATTCAGGTTGGCTAAAGTCAAGATTTCAGAGAAGGCTGAAACCATACATTGTGTAAGGCAAGAACAGGCCTTTTTGCTCCCAAATGGAGGAAGGTGGTGGGGGGCAGGGGGAAGGAAGGGAAAGGGAATAGACAGGGGTTAGGACTGAGGGAAGAAAGACTGTAGTCAGAGGTGGAAGACTGATGGCAAAGCCCCGACGTTCTGTTGTGTGACCCTCTCTGTGAACTTTGCAGCTCTCAGAAAAGTCCACCCAAGCCTACTAAACATCGTTGTAAGCACAGGTGCTTGGAAAGTCGTGTGGAAGCTGGCAGTTGCTTGAGTGGGCAGATAAAGGCCCACTTTATCTGCCATGGGCAGACAAAGCCAACCTGGGGACACAACGATGGAGGGAAGAGTTAGAGCAGGAGCCCAGGGACCACTTGCGGTGATGGATTCGGAATTCAGAGCCATCCTGCTCAGGCCTCTAGGACTGCACAGGATCCAGCTAACCTCTGGGTTCCAGAAGAATTTCAGGCACCTGAGGGCACCTTCTACTTTCATCCTTGCCCCACCACACAATGAAAAGTTAATAATTGGTCCCTGTAAGCTATTTAGACAGTTTACAGAATATAAGAAGCAAAGTGAAAAGTCATATTTTGGTTTATGTCTTAGAGATTAAAAAAAACTTTCCTCCCCCAAAATGACATACGAATATATTCTCTTGTCACCTCTTTTCCCAACTAACAATATAATGTTAATAATAATATATTTCCAGGTATTTGTTTCTCTTTACCAGGAATAGTGGAAACACTTTTGTGGCTTGTGAAGAATCCTAAAAGTATCCACCTCTTTGTCCTGAAAGGGATTGCTTCTGAATGATGATGTACATGTTTCCACATGTCACATCTCAAATTTTGGTCACTGACAGCCCAGCAACTGCTATAGAAAGTTTGATGGAATTTTCACTTAGAGTTATTAGTGTTATAAAGAAATTTTTGAATAGTTGTTCATCTCTGTTATTGGAAGTATGAAAAGAATTGGAAAATATCAGTGTCTTCCTCAATTCAGGAAGCTTTGTAAAAAGCACTGGTACAAATAAAATGCTCGATATGGAGGCTGTAAGTGTACAGAAAACCAGAAATTGATGTCCACCAACAAACTTATTGGGTTGGTTACTTTTGAGAAAGAGTATGGGATGTGAGGTGGTGAGTGGGAGGTTAGCTTTTTGGTGCACATACTTTGATATTATTTGAAAAGAATATAAACATTTTTTTATAATTTCTAAAAGTCTTAAACTAACCCACCAACCAGTAACTAAGGAAATGACTTGCTTTTGGACTCCAAGGTGAGAAGATTAAAGGACATATCCTGCCATGCCCCTGCCCTGTTTCCGGGATGCTTGGCCTCTTTGTGGAGAAAGGGACAGTGACAGGACATTCCCATAGGCTTCTTCCCCTTTTCCACACAGGGGCAATTCTGGCTGTCAATCTTCGGGACTCTTGTGGGCCATGGGGATCCTGGGATTATTAACAAATGTCAAATCTAAGCACACATAATGTTTCTTACATTTGAACATGGATATGGAGTTTTCTTACAGAATAAAACTTTATACCATCCTCAGTAGGTATGTACTCTCACCTTTTGATCCCAAGATGGGGATAATTTTCCATAGAATGACTGACAAGCACTGGTCAGTTTTCCCTGCAGCCACTGGCTTGATTTTGGGAGACAGCTGGACAGGGTTAGGAGTAGCTGGAGGTGTTGGAGGAAATGAAGATTGAAGTTGTGATCCGGACCCAGGAACAGGAGAAGTTGGTAATTTTAAAGCGGGTACTCAACAAGGACCTATTGTATAGCATAAGGAACTCAGCTCAATGGTATGTGGCAGCCTGGCTGGAAGTGAAGTCTGGGGAGTGTGGGTACATGTATACATATGGCTGAGTCCCTTCGTTGTTCACCTGAAACTATCATAAGATTGTTAACTGGCTGTGTGTGTGTGTGTTGGTTGCTCAGTCATGTCCAACTCTTTGCGACCCTGTGGACTGTAGCTTGCCAGGCTCCTCTGTCCTTGGAATTCTTTAGGCAAGAATACTGGAGTGGGTTGCCATTCCCTTCTCCAGGGAATCTTCCCAACGCAGGGATTGAGTCCGGGTCTCCCACATTGCAGGCAGATTCTTTACTGTCTAAGCCACCAGGGAAGCCCATTAATCAGCTATAACTCAATACAAAATTAAAAGTTTAATAAAAAATAAAATAAAATGGGTACTGCTAACCTCATGGATGAAATGTAGCACTAGAAAATAATACATTGTAATTATCAACTGAATTTGCTAAATAAACAAAGGCAAAGCAATTGATTTTTTCTTCTTTATTCATTCCCATGACATTGAGCTCCCTCTTAGACCAGAACGTCTTCCCAGTAAAACAACTTGACTCCAGTGTGAAAGAGAGATCTATGAACATGAAAGTGTTGTCTTTGACCTGGGAGAGCCTTGCCCGCTCCGTATGTAACTCAAGTTACTGCCAGTGACTGAAAATTGTACCGTACGCAGAAACCAAGTCCTAGAGTGGGCCAGAAGTGACAGAATCAAATTAAGTTAGCCAGGGACTTCCCTGGCAGTCCATTGGCTAAGACTTCGCCTTCCAATGCAGGGGGGACATGTTCAATCCCTGTTCAAGGAACTAAGATCCCATGTGTCTTGGCCAAAAACCCAAAACATAAAACAGAAGCAACACTGTAAAAAACTCATTCAAGACTGTAAAAAAGTGTTAACTTCTTAAGAAAGAAAAGTTAACCAGAAGCTTTCTTTTCCTGCTAGCTGGAATTTATCCAAAGAGAATTTGGACTGCTGAAAGTGTGCTGAGTCTGAGCTAGAAATTATAACCCCCCACAACAGGCAAACAAAGTAAACTTTCCTCTAGAACAACCAGTAGTACCTCACATTGGAGATAAGGGAGAGAGAGAGTTGCGCACTCCTGTTTTCCTCCTTCTGACCCTGGGTTCTGACCTTGACATCTGGGAGCTCACCTTGACAAGAATTCAGTGGTAACCTCAGCAAACAGATAGTATTTTCATCATGAATGTTTCTTTGACTTGGCACTGCTCTGAGCCGGAGCTATTCTGTAATACCTTTTTATATACAAAATCTTGTGATGCTGGCTAGCAGTAAGTCTGAACACTCAAGCAATACTTTCAATACACTTTTCAAAGAAAGACACTTTTAAGTCCTCTCAGTCCATTCATTTATTGTATCCTTTGAAACCTGAGGTGGGGATTTAGTGATCAAATAGTACATTCTCTTGAAAAATGCTATCTTCATGCAAAGCATTTCTTGCCCTCTTTCTACAAAGGGGTTGTGTTATGAAGAATACATCACAATTGCATTGCTAATTTCTTTATATGCCCCTACAAAAGTTGAGTTCTCCAAAGCAGCCTTGAAACTGAAGTGCCTATGAAGTGCCAGGTTAGAGAGAGTTTTGTTGGGTGCCAAAGAGAGAGTTCTACTTAGTCTGATGGCTTTCCAATTCAAGGTGGAAATTCTAAGCACTAAAGCATGGGGAATCACCTGGATACTTCTTAAAAGTATAAATACCTTGGCTCCACCCCAAGAGACAGTCATTCACATTAGGTTTGGGGTGGGGCCTCAGGCATCTGCCTTTTTTATAGGTATCCCCAGCAATTCTGATGCAAAGCTCTAAGGCCCCACTGCTGTTCTAATGTTAATATCACCATGGTGGGCTTCCTGCCTTCCACTGATAGAAACTGTCTAGAATTTGGTATTCCCCCACCACTTTGCTTTTCAGTACCATTCCCCTAATGTACATAATGACTTTCTCGTTATTGTTGTTCACTGGCTAAGCCGTGTCCCACTCTTTGAGACCCCTTGGACTGTAGCCCTCCAGGCTCCTCTGTCCATGGAATTTCCCAAGCAAGAATCCTGGGGTGGGTTGTCATGTCCTTCTTCAGGTGATCTTCCTGACCTAGGGATCAAACCTGCATCTCCTGCATTGGCAGGCAAATTCTTTACTGTTGAGCCACCAGGGAAGCCCTATGCAATGACTTTCTGAACACTCAATTTTCCTTTTTCCTAAATTTCCACAAGGTCCAGTCTTGAGGTAGGAATAAGTTTAAGAGTGCAAGATGTTAGGCCAGTTGGTATGTAGAATCTAAATCAGAACCTAATTATATGGAACATGTAATGTTCATTTACCAAAAGCGGCTTAAGGATCCTGAGCTTCGAAATATGTGAACAGGAAATATAAAATTCATCGTGGAAGAGGTGAATTAATATATTCTTTTCTGAAACATCATCCTCTGTTTTATTAAAGCATGTTTTTTTAATGTTGAAGTAAAAGAGGCACAAGGCCTGTTTAACTAAACAGTCATTGCTGAAAGAATCACATAGGACATTTCATCTGAAATCTCCACTCCAGCCCTGGCTTCACTCGACTAGGGTGAATAACCACGCTGGCAGAGCATGCGCTTTGAAGGCCAAAAGTCTTAACATCGTAATTCAAGACCTCATAGCTATGGAATTTATTGTCTTACCACTGAGTCACTTTTAATTTCTAGTGTGACCTTCCACAAGCTCTATATTCTCCCAGACTTCCTGAAATACCACGGAAGTGAGAGGAGCAAAGTGGAGTCATAAAAACTACTTCACATCCATCCCTGGGCTTCTTAAAGATGGCCGCTAAGGTTCAGAAGGGGCTTCCCAGGTAGCGCTAGTGGTAAAGAGCTCTCCTGCCAAAGCAGGAGACATAAGAGATGCAGGTTCAGTCCTTGGGTTGGTAAGATCCCCTCAAGGAAGGCATTGGCAACCCACTCCAGTATTCATGCCTGGAGAAGCCCAGGGGCTGAGGAGCCTGGTGGGCTACGGTCCATAGGGTCACAAAGAGTAGGACACGCCTGAAAGCAACTTAGCACATATGCATGCATGATGCTAGTGGTTAGGACTCAGGGCTTTCACTGTTGTGGCCTGGGCTCAAGCCCTGGTTAGGGAACTAAGATCTTGTAAACCCTTGCAGCACAGCCAAAAAAACTCTGTATTTTAATCAAAGAAATATATCACATGGCTGAAAGCAAAAAGGTAGGCTTTTGCTGGTAATAGTAGTCCCCTGTCTGAATCGTTGTCCGCTCCAGTTTTTCTTCATTCTTCTAATTCCCTGAGTGTTTATTTTAATGTTTTAAATAACATGTATATCCTGTTATTTCTATTTTAAACATTATCTGTTGATGACCCACAATAACAAAGGAGAATTTAGCTCATTTACACTGCTTCTGCTATCATTCACCCCATGACACACCATCATCATGTGTCAGAACTTTTGGTTAAATCAATAGTCATTTTTTTTATATTATAGTGATTAATATGACCTATACCCATATTTCATCATATTTAAGATGTCATCAATTATAAGACCTACTATTATTTTACATGCTACTCAGAAGAAAAAATATGGCAAATTTA